TAAATAATAACCATGAACTTTTATGACCATTGTGACAAAAAACCTGGATTACCTTTTTTAATAGATATTGAAACCATTCAAACAGAGCATTCCTGATTAGTTCATTTTGACATCACGACAGGAATGCTGGGAGAATAAGACTTCATTCATTTCAATCTCGTTACTTACATATATTTGTATAATTACAAATAGTTTTGATACCTTTACACCCTATACAAGTTGTATCTGATTCACTGCTAGAAGAGTAATTTTTTCTGAAGCTTACTGTATTTGGTTTTTAACCAAATGTCTGTATTTTCAGGAAGAAAACAAAGATTTTATTGAAATGCAAGGGAAGATGTGCAGGACTCCTGAGTCTTTAATGTCATTCACTGATCATCAGATAACCTTTATCAAAAGGCAAAATTCTCATATCTTCACAGGAAGCTCTCTATGTGTGGGAAACTAACCTTTAAGGACACAGTTTGCCTTTCTGTATTTTGTGACTTCACAGCAAGACCTTAAATAAGAGAAAGTTAAATAGAGACCTTATGGAATAGCTAATAGCACAAACTACTAAATATCAACATAACCAGTTTTTCTACTCATTGACCATTGTCAATGGTCAGTTTAAGCAAAGATGAAACTTTTATGAGTTAAATTAGAACAGCATTCAAGGCAGCATTTGCTATTATATCCATTCTCTACACATCACTGTCTGTGTCAGCATGACTTTATTGCAGTTCCTGGAATTTTCATTAACCCAGAAATCACCTTGCTGGGTTCAAATCTGAGTTCTAATTGCTCCATACATGCCACTGATCTCAGTTCAACAAGTCTGCATTATAATAACAACACACAAAATAACAGTGTTTTAATTTTAGGTGACATAGATAAAAATCAGAAAAATAATTTCCTGACACAGGCAAATAAAGGAGGTCAACTGAGAATATAAATATATTGTTACTGAGGAGGAAAAGAAAGTAATCCAAAGCATTAGAGTGCCTTTTTTCAGGGATGCTACTAAAGGGCCAGAAAAAATAAAGAAGAGAAAGGTGAGGTATGCTAAAGAGAGAAAATATTTAAAGCAACAGCTTGACAAAATCAGGTGATGTGAGGAAAGTTAAAGAAAACTTAGTGCATGCTTCTTTCTTAGAGTGAATTAATTAAATCTGTGAATAAAATTCATCCTGAAGAAACCATCTTTGCAATCACCCATCAGGTGGAAGGAAGGATTTGAACAGTATAACCTTTATCTACCATTTACATTTTCCCTAAATGCACTCTTCTTCATTTCTCATTAGATATGGCACTATATCAAAATCTTTATACAAATCTTTGATGAAATGATCTACCTAATTCCTGTTTTCTAGACTATCAAATACCTTATTGAGGGAAAAATATCTTTTGGATTGGTATAATCTCACCACCTTCTATTTCACCCCAATTTTTACTTATCTTCAAGTTGTTAATAATTCTTTTCTTTAAGAATCTTTCAAAATAATATTGAAAGCATTGCATACCATTGAATCCAGCCTGAAAGATCTGACCTACTATAATACTCCTTTCACCTATTTTTCCATCCTTTTCATTACAACTGCCACTCTTACTAATCTATCAGACTCAAAGTATTTACATTCTAGTTTGAAAACTTCATATATTTTGGTTATTTGACCTTGTTTTCATGTTTAGCTCATGCAAAGACAAGAGACAGAGATTATCCAGCACCTCAAATTAATGACATGAAACTCAGTAAATTTTGCTATCTATTGTGACAGCAGTACTTTCTTCCTTCAGATTTTTCCTTCATATTCTTCCTTCTCCTGAGTCAAATATAATTATCTACACCGAACATGAAAGTAAATTACTCTTCTAGTTTAAGAGGCTATTCTAAATTAACATTCTAAATTATTCTAAACTAACTAAGCTATTCTAAACTAACATTTGAAACTTGTTTCCTTCTTATCTATTTATTCCAATGTATATTTCTTTTGCTTTATGTACACATGTAAAATAATTTATAAATACATAAATATAAAGCTGATTACCTTGTGTCAATTTTCCTGATTTTCACTACACCTATCTCAATTTTGTACAAACATGTATGTGGAAAAATATATTTTCAACAGCTAGTCAATTGTTGTTTTCAACTATTTTTTGCAATATATATGCCCAAACACTGAAATAACTATTCAAACACCAACCATAAATTCTGAAAATATACAAATTGAATACTTTCACTTTATTAAAAACTAATATTAAGAAGGAAGCTAGAAACAGAGGTCCTTAAAAATAACATATGAAATAAGTTGGGCTTTTTAACTCTACATCATCTTCTCAGTTTTGATTAAATTTGTTTTATTATTTGATTTCTGAGTATAATAGATGAGGAGAAGAGTCCCTGTTCTTTTGTTACTCCCTGTCTGCTCTCAATTTATTGTCAAAATTCCTTTCTAATGTATTCTATGGTATCATGGTTTTACAGAACAGGTACTTTGTCCTGTTAGTAAACTACTTCTAAAGTGACACATAAGAGGGTCCTTAAGAAACCATCGGGCAACTCAACATGAAACAGATGCCTTGCACCAGGTTCTGAATTCTTTCAGACTTAATGTACGATCCCACTATCCTGGGTTCTTCCTTACTGTTTGATCAATTTCCATCTCATTTTATGCCCAGCATTAGCCTTGCAGGATTAGCTGGTAGTCAATAGTAAGCAAGGCTTCACAGAGAAGAAAAACTATTGGATTTGATTTGCAGGTATCTCGAGAGCAACAATAAAGAAATTTACCACTTTATCAAGAAGGTTATTGAGGTCAAAACTATCGGCATTTAACTACTGTATGCCTCTTTTATGAATAGATATTACCAATTATTACACCATGTTTTAATGCACTATTAGCCTAAAACCTATATTTGGTGGCCTATCACATTGGTGGTTTAGTTTGCCTGTGTTCTTGTGATAAAAGTTAGCAAGAGAAATATGCTATTAAACTATTAAGATATTTTTTCCTTTTGGCATGATTCTTTTATGCTCCTTATTACAGTTAATAAAAGTAAGATTTAATTAGCTTTTGGGTTTTGATACAAAGAGGCTTACCAGCTTTCACAAAGGATTTTGTATAAAGTATTTTCTGAAAGCAAAACCTTTTTACTTATTTGAAAATATAAGATATGAACAAATGAAGTAGTTGGGCATATAGGAAAGAAATTTTTTCTATCCTTTAAAATCTTATCTGAACTGTCTTTATACAATACATTTTATAATACTATATATTACAGATGGTTCTTTGACTGAAGACTTCAAATTCTGGATATAGTGCAAGGAGTGTTGGAGAGGCAAAGCTTTAGAAATTTGTACATAATATAAATTCTTTCTGGCTCCTCATCCAGAACAGATTGAGCTAAAATTCCAGAACTTTCAGCTCAAACACTGTGAAACTTGTATTGTAGTTGAAACTGTATAGTTCAGCTTCATTCTTAGTAATCAAGGTTGTCAAAAATTTCCACTGTTCAAATTCAGCAGGTAATTGTTTTACATATCCATTGTTATGAATTTTATTCCAATATCTCTTTTTTGAATATAATACACATGTTATTCAAATATAATCGTATCTTGATGTTTGATGCTTATTATTTGACCTTTAAAATGTATACTTAAATGAAAAACTAAGGGATCATTTGTATTTTAATTAATCAAATTAAATTCCTGTGTCTTTCAGACCTGTATATAACTATTCAAATGAACATAATGTATTTGCATTTATACACTGAATCCTGCTATCAAACTGCAAACATATGTGTGTACTCAAAAAATGAGTTTTAATGTAAGCCCAGCAAACTTTCTTCTTTCTCATGTCACCATTAACTTCAAAAATTCCAAGACTTGGGGATACTGTATTTTGGAAAAAAAATATAATACATCTGTATTTTCCAGTCACTCTTTGGCATGTAGCATGAGACAAAAATCACTTTAGGATGCAACTATTCTATTTTGGAAGATAAAATCAGTTCACAATATCAGTATAGTTTTATTAATTGGGCCTGAGACAAGAAAATGGGCATAATATTTGGGCTGATTTATTTCAGCATATTTAGCAAATAATCATTTCAATAGTAAATAATTGTTTTCTGACAACATATTTAAAATCAACAAATTTAAAATCAGCAAAAAAAAAATTTGGGGGGGGGGGAAAAGTTTTGCAGGGCTTAATTTTTTTTTTTTTAAAGGATTTTTAAAAATCATTTGAAGTAAGATAAATAAGTATGTGGTAACAGGAGTTTTCAAAGATATATATGATCTGAGCATCTAATTCCATTTTACCATCAGAAACAACCATACAATGCGGTAACTATTTGCAGTTCTTTAAAGTTACAAGCTGAAACAATGTCTGTAGGTTACCTTCTAGAAAGGTTCATGCCAAAAGCCAAGAAATCTCTGTCCTAATAGTAGTTACATTTTATGAAGGGAATATCATCGAATCCTACCTAACACATAACAGCACATATGTATAAAATCTTTCAGAATACATTATATATAAAATATAGTAAGAAAAAAATCACACATAAGCTAGTTCTGCTTGACCAGACAGCAAAAGTTGTTGGTTTTTTGTTTTTTTTTTTAATTAAAAAATGGATTGAATCCATGATTAACTAAAAGACAAAAAATGGAATGAAGATTCAGTAGAATTCTCATTAATTAAGTCCATCTTGGAAAATTGAGATGAAGGAATGGTGAGTTGGAAAACATTCTGCAGCAATAATCATCATGCTAATGAATAAAGCCGAAAGACAGGAAGGGTGAATCTCTGAAATACAAGCTGAACAAGTAATATGAGGTGGTTTTTAACACAAGTGGGTCTTTCCTGAATAGTTAGAATAAATTTGAGTCTAACAGTGTTTTGGATATGTAAGAATCATTAAGAAGGCAGTAGAGATCACTATATAAATATTTGCTTTTAATCAAGCTGTAATTAGTTTTGAAGAATACTTAATTTTAGAATTCTTTGAACAACACCTACTTGAGGTCTTGGGAAGGTTCTGCTCTGATATGGGGTGTCTCCACGGAATGTCCAAACACTGCCCCTTCCGTGCCTAAAATACATAATTAAAATAAAGTACAGTTACTTTGAAAATAAAAATACATCAAAATAAATGATCACTTATTTTGGGGGTAAAACATATACTTTTATGCTGTATTACTAGCTATCAATGTTTCTTCGTATTTATGTTAGCATCTCTATTGAAAATCTGGATCGATCACTTAAAACAGTAGACCTCTGCTTATCAATAGATGAACTTCAAATACAAATCTTAAAACATTTAAACATCCAAGCTTCCCAGTGTTGACTGGTCTGAATGTTCATTTCAACACTTTATAGATAATGTTGACAGAGAAAAGAATAAATTAATTTTGTTTGACAAAATTACATTTTTAAAGTACCTACTCTTTTTGCATGATGCTCATTTTGATTATTTAAATTGAAATCCCAATCTTTCAAGTTTTAAAATACCAATTTTCCATCTGAAGTTCCTTACCTAAATCTCTGACACATCTCCAGTCTCCTTCCATCATGGCTTTCAAACGACTTATTTGAGATGTTCTTTGTGGGTGTTTTTTTTGGTTTTGTTTTGTTTGTTTAAAATTTTTATTTTTATTTTGGTAGGGGACTGTAAGTTTACACACTGTAAAGATAGCATGGGTATTGTATAATGAAAATAGCTTAGAACTATAATGTGAAAGACTTTTCAATGAACAACAAATACAAAACAACTGAATAGAAATATATCTAAAAGAAGTGATTTGTTTACATTTTATCACTAGAAATAAGATAAAGGAAGCTTTCTGGCATAATTATAGTTGATTGTTAAATATGCTGGTAACAGTCGCTGCATTTCAGGGACAGAACATTTTCTTGTGTTCTGAGACCTGAAATCTATTAAGAATATACAAACAATATCTCTTAATGGCTGCATAAATAATGGTCAGTATGACCAATGCTTCTCTAATTGTTTCAAAATTTTAAATACAATATTTTAAATTATTTTAATATTTCACAACAGATATTTTGGTTTTCAATTGAGACAGATGTTTAGAAATTTTGGCTATTAAATGAATAACCTTGTAAGAGATTCTCCCTCCTATAAACTGGAGTGACACAAACCTTTAGAAAATTAAACCTACCAGGATCTGTAAGTAGAACCAGAGAATATTTAATCAATATAGCTTTACAGTATTTAAGAGAAAATGTCCTGAACAATAAGTCCCAGAATATAAATAAATGTGAAAGTACATAAGTCAGAAAGTTGTCATTATTATTCATATTCTAAGATCCATTTACATAAATAAAATTAAAAAAAAAAAATCTTCATTATCAAATACTCTACTGGTAGAGAGAATTCAAGAGAGGAAGGATTGAGTTCTGAAAGAAATGAAGATTTAGGGTTTTATCTCCAGAAAACAATGCATATTTTAAAAGTATCTTAGCAAAGCATCCTGAAAGCAATTTCATTACAACTGGAGCTTTGAAGATGTCACAAGAAAAGAAGCAAATCTGTGTGCTATAAACATACAATGCTGAGTGTTCTGCAGAACCACAGGCAGGAAAAAAAGAAGCATTTCTTCATATATAAAAGTATTCATATAGGAACTATGTAGAATCTTCTTTTTGAACCTTTACTGGCAATTTTGCTACCTTTAAGAGACAGGAGTAGCACATTTATATAGCCCGAATTCCTTTTACTCCAAACTGAAATCCCATCTATAATAGCATATAAAAATCCCAATGGAGTTGAAGCATCAGAGTGGTTCTAGACCCCACTCAACTCTTTAATCAGCAAAACTGAATATTTACAAGGCCAATGGCTTTTTGTATTTTTCAAGGTGGAAATGGGATATGAAGATACAAATAATTGAGCAGAATGTCAGCCTTCCAAGAAAATCACTTCTTTAACATTTGAAAGAGGAGAATTAATGCTAAGACAGAATAGTGATGGGTCAGGCACCAAATCAATTGGAAGTGCCAGAGATAATTGGCAAAAACTGATAAGAAAATATACACAATAGTTTTTTCTAAGCTACTGCTAACATTTTTTATATTCAGCAGTGGTTGTTTAAAATTAGAAGCCATTTTCCCACCTTACACAACTGAAATTTGGAACGAAAGATGGTCTTGTTCAAGCAGACTGTACTATATGAATACATAATCCCACTTCTTTTTTTCTACTCATTCGCCACCAGATCTGATAGTGTTCCCATGGTAAATACTTTATGCTCAAAAAATAAGCTCTCACCTAGGAAGTTAAAGGAACATCTCCCTTTTACTTTACACTGGAAGAAATGCAGGAAACTTATCTCATTTTTAGGAAGGAAAATGAGAAACAACCAGAATTTACTGCAGTTAAACAGCCGGATCAAGAAAAATGGAACGGGACTGTAGAACAAATGGGTGACATGGATCAGCATTACTTAAAAATACAGAACATTAGAAAAAACTATAGGAAGGTGCTCTTTAATTTGTGATTTATTATATGGCAAATCTGCTTTTATGCTGCTCCAACAGGAAGTTAGATCATGCAGTTCAGCATTATTGAGGAAATGGTGATAGAAAAACATAATTTTTGTGTGTGTGTGTGAGAATAATACTTATATAACAATACAAATCAGGATTCGAAGTGAATAACATGACTTTTTAATAGAAGAAATGTATTTTAGGTGTTTAGTTGCTTGCAATACTAAAATGCTTATTTTTTACAGAAATGACTAAATAATACTATAATTATATTCCCTGACTTACAGAATCATAGCCAAGACCTACTTTGAGATGAGTCAAATTCTAGACAGAGATTAAGATAAAGAGAAAAGACTTGAACCTTCAAGCCCTTTCAAGTGTATCTCAAAAGAAAGTAGTTAGGGAACTGAACTCAAAGGAATGTGAGTTAGAATGAATTGCTAAAGTAGGAAATAAAATAGCAAGGGCACTGAGTATGTGCAAAGGATGTAAAATCAAAAATGTAAGTTTAACTGAATAAAATTACTCCAACTTCCAGCTTCCATTGGAAAGAATGAGTTAAGTAAAGACTTTGCCAAGGGAGAAAAATCTGTGACTGCAAACTACTGGTCAAAGAACAGCCTCCATAGTTTTCTGCAGAAATGCCAGAAGTACATTTCTGTATATTAAGAAAAATTTCTTAGAGCATAGCAGTTCTATACACAGTAGATGTTTAAAATACACTTTTGCTTTTCTTTCTTTCTTTTTTCTTTTTTTTTTTAACACAAAGCAGATCAAAGTTATCCCATCAGTACAAGCAAAACGATTCATACACTCCCATTGAAATTGGAACTGAACAGTCAGAATTCACAGAGACTGGTGTAAACTACTAATTTCTGCTCCATTTACTGGTTACTGAAATTCAGCCTTTGGGAAATGATGACTTTCATAAAAAGAATAGAATTACATTGTTGGTACTTGGCGCTGGATTTATACTCACTTATATATGTTACATGGTGGCAGTGTTGTCATTTATGTAACAAGCAAATGATCCTTGATTTATGCGTTAGCTCACAGAACAACACTGGAACTTTTTAATGACTAAATAACTGAAAGGCGTGAAAAAAACAGCCTATACACTCCGCAAAAAGAATATAGGCGAGAGAACTGATGAGTCAAGAAACAAAAACAAATAAATTATATTGCTGAGAAAAATCCACTGCATATTAACATTATCCCACTCACATTATTCTTGCAAGCAAATCACCTCAAATGTACTGACAGTGGATTTGTATAGCATTTTGATGTGCTCAGATTATATAGCATTGCATTATTACAGGCGCTGTTGAATCTTATTGCCTTGATCTTTCCCTAGGCTTTTTGGAAACAACAAGTGAATATGATAAAGTGCAACAATTTTGCAAGTGCTTGACTCTAATGCCAATTTTTCCTGAGTTACAGATTTTAAAGAATAATTTGTAAATTATTTATCATCTTTGAGACTTGCCATTTAACTCATCACAAATTCATTAAGTTAAACTAACCACCAATTTCACTGAAAAATATGAGTACTTAATCAAGATTGTTTTACCACTGCAGGGACCTTGAAAACAGACCTTATATTCTAAAAGTTTAACTGCTATTAAAAAGTTCAGTTCTTAATTCTTTTACCATGTGTACATAGCAAAACTTTAAAAGTATCTTTGTGGGATTACTTAGCTATTGTTCACCAATAAGACACTGGAAAGGTTGATCACTGCCAGACTGAAAACGAATCCCAGAAATATTCATCTAGACAGATTAATAATCATAGAAAGACCACTTTCTTCATTAAAAGTTCACTTATTGCACTTCTGCAAACTAGAGAACCAAAGGAATCAGAATGCTTTGGACCACATGCTGATTGTGTAGCTCTTCAAGGTTTTCAATTTTAATAAATGGTTTGAAGTGTAAATTAACTAAGTACTTCTAATATATATATATATATATATATATATATATATATATATATATAAAAGAGCACGATGAAACTGGATTTTTCCTATAGAAACATACAGAACTAGAATGAAAGCAAGTAGGGCTGTTCTATGGCAATGTGATTGGCACAATTTTCTCAGTCTCTGAGCAGCAAAACTGACTAAGACTAAAAAGCAAAGGTTCCAGGTATGATTTTGATATGGGCACACTAGAGGTATAATTCAGGCAGACAGATGCAGTACTTAGGCATCTGACTCTAGATGCAGCTGTTCACATGTAAACTAAAGCACTGGCACTTGGGAATTAAAGGCTTCAGAGATAAGACATTGTTTAAAAGTAATTTGTGAAATGAATGATTTAGATTTACTGAAGGACCTTGAACACAACAAATGTTTGATGCATATTTTCTATATAGAAACCTTACTTAAGTAAAGACTTGTATTAAGCCTTTAATCTAGGTAAGAAATGTAACTTCTTCAATAAATTAATTGTTTTCAGTGTAACAAATTTTGATCAAAGCAAATCCACACTCCAGTGAATACTTGTTAAATTGCAAAAAAATCTTCTAAAATTATTGTAACTTGAACTGAGTACAAATACTTTCTAAATTTTGTCCTAGTGGTGGGC